TCTCTCTCTCTCCCCGCACAACACACACACACAAGCTGACCAGATAGAAAGTGTATTCATCATCCAGCAGACCCTGTCCTCTCTCTCTCTCTCTCTCTCTCTCGCTCTTTCTCTCTTTCTCACACACACACACACACACACACAAACAAACTCACCAAATAGAGAGTGTACTCATCATCCAGCAGGCCCTGTCCTCTGTCTCTCCACACACTGCTCAAGAAGGGCACGACAATGCGGAAGTAGAGCCGGTACAGCAGCAAGGTGCCCAGGCTCAAACCCAGACCAATCAGACATGCCACTCCAGCCGCTCGCACTGAAAGCAAACAAAATATCATCACACATTAACTCATGGTTCTGGTGAGGAAAAGGAAAAACAACGACAAATTTAAACCGTTATTTACTCGTTTGAGTGAAGACACATTAACCATTGTTTAAACTTGTTTTAGTAAAGCTTAAAGACAAGCCAATGGTTTTAGTTTTTAGTAGAAGTTTTACGGCGCTCGCAACTGCATGAGGTCATAGGAGCGCCAGAAGATTAAAAGTGTTACAAGAGAGTAACAAACATAAACAAGAAGAAGGGGAGATAAGGACAATAGATGTTGGATAAGAAAGAGAAGCAAACCACACCAGAGCACTCGCCAACCACACACATTAACCATTTTTTTTACTTGTTTGAGTAAATCTTAAAGACAAGCCAGTAAGCACATTAATTGTTAATTCTGCTTTGAGTAAGAAGCATACTTACACACTAGCTGTTATAACTTATATTTTTGTATCAGTAAAGACAAGCGCATGGACACATTAACTACAATATTTACTTGTTTTTTGAGTAAAGACAAGTTCATCAACGAATTAACAGTTATAATTTAGTTGTTTGACTAAAAACAAACTTATCAAAGCACTAGCCGCTATATACTTGTCTAAATGAAGACAGTCATATCGAAACATTAACCGTTAATTACTTGTTTCAGTAAAAACATTAACTGACATTTATTCGTTTGAGTAAAGAGAAGCACATTGACCAAATAAAGCTTATAATATAATGATAACAAGCAAATAGTTGACCGCAATAATTTACAAAACCACCAGTAATAATATTAAAGCAAGCAATAATAACAATATAAAACACAAAAAGCAGCAATACTTTCAATAACAATAACCGCAATGAATACAATAACAAAAACCACAATGAAAGCAATCTTTTACAAAATGGTGAAATGGTATAAGTTTAACGCCCCTATCAACACTATTACTAATTAGGTCATTTAAGAGGCAAAAGGACAGGGCCAAAACGGGAAATTCGTGGAAAGTGCCTTTTTCAAGGACACAACGTCAGACCGAGCTGAGGCTCGAACCCCCAAAGTCGTAATCTCACGATTACGAGTCCGGTAGCCTACCTAACCACTAGGCCACCGACGCCTGAAAGCAATAATTGAAATAAAAAACCACCGTGGCAGCAGTAATAAAACAATAACTATCACCAGGATAGCAACAATATAATGCCAAAGTGTATGACAGCAATAAAAGGCATGAACTACACAGGCAAAGCCTAACAACAGAGAGCAGACTGTGATAACAATAGGAACAAAGACAAAACTATGCTGACAAAAGAGCTTCTGTTGCAAGAAGACCATTACATTTTTAATAGGAGATTTGGGTTGGGGGTGGGGGCGCTGAGGAGGAAAAGACTGGATTTCATTCTTTTAATTATTAAATAAGAGCAGCTCTAGTGATTCAATCGACCAGAACTATTTTTTTAAACAATCGTAATTCAATTTCAATAACCATGTTGTTGGGGTTTTTTTAAACATAAAAAAACCCAAAAAGGGGGAGAGTGAGAGAGTGAGAGAGCGAGAGAGAGAGAGAGAGAGAAAGAGAGAG